AATTATGCGCGGCTGAACGTAATTATAATGTTACAAAATACATTTATGGATAATAAATCATTAGAGACAAAAATATAAAAAATTTACTCTATTAAATAATTTCTATTTAATATTTTACTATTGCATTAAAATAACATAAAAAAAATAGATAACGCGTATTTACTTATAAATAGAAAAACCAATCTTAATAATATTTTTAGATTTGGTTACACACACAAAATTATTAATTTTGGCGATTTTCATTTCGTTTGATATACAATCCTTATGAAACAATCTAAAATTTGCATTTCATAAATAATGAATTTTTCCACGAAATAATTTCCGGCCGCGAAAATAAAATTAAGATCGACGACGCAGTTGTTTAGAAGATGAAAGACCGGTGACCATCTTCGAGCCACTTTACGAGCTGCGAAATATGCATCCCCGAGATAAATTCTCCGCGTAATAGGGTATGGAAAGAGCGAATGAAAGTTGAAGCAAGCGGCGCCACCAAGTCGAGGAGTTTTACTTAAGATGAATATGTATCACAAGACTTATTCGATACCATTTATCTCCGGGAAAATCCAGCTTCCGGACGTTTTGAGTCAACGCGAATCAAAATTCACCGCGATGACAAAGATGAATAATTTCTAACCTGTGAAGATAACATCGAAAGGCTGCTAGCTTCGACGCCAGTGTTGGCAGAAATCTGTACGTTTCACCCTTTGCATTTTAACTCGAGACGTGAAATTATCATAATTAAAAAGCGGAAAAGTAATATAATTATGATTAAGGGAGCCCATGAAACTTTGAAATCTTAATTTAACTTTAATGAATCCTTGAACTTGCGACTTAACTCAGGAAATATTACAAGAGAGAGGAAGAATAATCGCTGAACGAATAGATCCAATTTTTTTTTCCGATCACTTGTGAAAATGTGATTATTATACGAAATAGCTTACTTTAAGTGTGAAATAAATTAATGTTTTTATAAATATATGAAATATTATGTTTAAATAATTCGCGACTTAAACAAGTTTGATAATTATTAATGTGGCATTTTGTATATTATATTACAATATAGCGTTACTTATTAAAATTGTTTACATATAAATATTGATACCATTGATTATGATATATGATATATTGATAATAGTAATCAAAGCATTAATTCAATTATGTAATTCACGCGTATGTTATAATGAGAGATTAGAGATTCTTCGGTTTTTAAAATTCATACACATCAAAAAATGCTAAACAAAACTTTCAACTTTTTGTTAAATACACGTATATCATTCCACGATGGCAATCCCGCGAGCGATCACATTAACTTCAACGTTTTACAAGCGTTGAATAATTCTGTATCGGATAGCTACATGTGTTACTGCAATATCCATTATTCGCTCCAATTTATGATCAAACTATAATACGCTATAAATATACACACTATAGGAATAGTATTTCTATTATTCTAGCAGTTTGAACATCTCAGGTTAAATAAATCAGCCTCTAGACAGATAGAATTACTAGTAATTAATAGTGATCAAGATGGCGTTTAAATATTTAATTGTAAATGTTATAAATGATCTCTCTCTCTCTCTCTCTCTCTCTCTCTCTCTCTCTCTCTCTCTCTCTCTCGCTCTCTCTCTCTCTCTCTCTCTCTTAGCATAGCCGATGAACAAATAATCCGGCGCGCTTTTGTATATATAAACACAGATACGGACAAAATGTTACACGAACAGACATTTACCTAAGATAGACGTTAAGCAGTGAAAAAGACGAAAGTCTTTTAGGGAGAAGAAAAAAAAAGCGTGTGTATAGAGAATAAAGTTGTATCATAAACCGAAAAAGTGAACGTTTAACAATTGTGGTTAATAAGTAACAATAAAGGCGACGTTATATTGTACAGCAACAGCAGCCGCTGTGTCTCTCTCTCTCTCTCTCTCTGTCTCTCTCTTTCTCTCTTTCTTGTAATCATTTTTTTAGTGTAGATATATTTTATATCGATTATAATCTTTTTTTTACTTTTATATATATATAGATCCATCGCATCCCCATCCTCATGCCATTCTATTTGCTTTATTGAAGAGATATCCAAAAATAATCTCGTTGAATAATTTGCACGATATCGTACATCAACGCTACAGACGTTAAACGAAGCGGCTGCTTCGAGGATGTAAATTAATAAATTAATGATCTCTCTCTCTCTCTCTCTCTCTCTCTCTCTCTCTCCCTCTCTCTCTCTCGCGCTGTCTCTCTCTCTCTCGTACTTAGCAAAATTTTTATAAGAATATAAATTAGAAGAGAATTTAAGTAGATAGATATATAATAAAAAAATACTGCTGTCATATCATGAGAAGAACCAATGACTCTGGGAAAACTAGTTGTTCAAGGAAAGCTAGAAGGAAAAAGGCTTCGAAGACGTTCAGTTACTCGATATGTGGACCAAATTGCAAAAATGATGGGAATCTTATTGTTAGTATATGTATTCAAACAGTAGAAAATAAGGAAACATGGAGGCAATAAGTTTGACAGCTGTGATTTGCCAATACATCATTTTTGTCACAATGACGAGCGATATGAATACAAAGAAAAAATATCAATAAAATATGTGAATCTCTAATTGAAGTATAATAACCGATAACCGAACTAAGGTCCGAGCAGAGGACGCTGTCAATGACTTTGGCGTGCCGGAGAAAAGTAAATATAGCACAGCTACCAAACCAGTTCTCTTAAAATAACTTGCGGTCCTAAGGAGCGCATTCTCCATCGCATCGACGGCTTTTTGGTATCAAAGAACACACGCGATCGACCGCTGGACGCCAATGTCGTGACGTTTTGCCGAATAATTCGGATTTAATCATGTGTATTTTGCCAGGATCAAGATCAGTTAAAAAAAAAAAAAGAACTCTTGATATTCTGAAAATTAATTTAAGCATTTTAAGCGCGCTATCAAGAACCGATTACGGTTTTTAAAGAACGCGATATCAAGTTCGAAGAACGATTCGGTAATCGCGAAGTATCGAGTCTCGTCGAGAGGGTGCTCGATCGTATCGAGAACTTTGATCGAATTAGCGCAAAAGGATTATTGAGACAAAAAAAGAGACACGAGTAGAAACAAAGTGCACTCATTCTCAGCTCGACGAGTTCGCAGCTGCAAAACATTTCGCTAATACCATTTCATCCCTTTATATATAGGTATATAAATCTGCGCGTTTTTCTCCATCGACAAATCTTGACCCTCGAGAAGAGACAAATAATTATTGAGTTATCCGGAGTAAAAAAATAATTCTGACAAATTGCGTTAGAATTTTATTGTTTACCCGTTTAATTACTGCGATATGCTCCAATAATAAATATAAAAACATCGAAACTGAGATTAAAAATAAGAGAAAAAAATTGCAATATGCCATTTAATATGAGTTTTATTTTATTTTACGGCGATATTCGCGCTCCAGATAATTAATTAATTGAACAATTAATTATTTGACTTGTCGTAAATAGAAAGTGATTACATTAGAATATTTTAAGCGCGATTTCTATAAAACTAGAGATCATTTGAGAGAACAATACCAGGAATATGCTAAAAGTTAACTCTTTAATCAGTAAAAACTGCATGCTAATTTTCGAGCGTTCGCTCTACAAATGCGTCCCGAGGAAAGTATAACGATGCAATACCGTGGAGAGAGAAAAAAAAAGCACGTCGTTGCGGAAAAGCAATCGAAAGTAATGATAGGTGAGTGCTAAGGGTTTAACAGAGCGAGAACGAAAGTAAACACGCGAAGTCGAAAGAATGCTTCATTGCGCCGCGGACGAAATTAACGGCGAACGATGCGACACCGAATGCACATTGCGGGAGAGAAAAAAATCTCGTATACGAAAAGAAAAATATAATAATTGAATGTCAACACCCGCACAAATGTGTGTGCGTAGTATTCGCGCATGTATACGTTTTGCTTAGCATGCCATTCCATCCATTCCGGGTCGCCGTGTCTGATCCTCTCTTTCTCGCAGCTCTCAATCTTTATCTTTCTCTCCCTTCCGCTTACGGTGACCCACGCCGCGCTCTTTTTCCTCTTTGTGCGAATCCAGCTGCACGGATAAATAAAAGAAGGCTCTCCTTCCTGGCTGCTAACGCATCCCGACGCGCATAGTGCGAGTCTAGAACGAAGAAAAAAAAAAAAAACAACGAGCGTCTTGGCGGAGCCTGGTGGAATTACGTCGCGCCGTTTGAATCATTAATCTCGTGACGACTACGTCTGGTCCTACGTGACCTCGAAGAAACGACGGCTCGAGATAAACGACTATCAGAGGTAAAGCAGTTCAAGCGCGATCGAACTATAATATAGATTCGATTAAGCTTTGATTAGAAGATATATCATTGTCTTTGATAAATTATATATATAAACAAATGCAAGACAATAACTATTGTGAACGAGTCTCTTATATAATTATTTATAAAATCAAGAACATTTTACAGTCGGCTCTTCCGCGCTTATATTTGTAACTCCCCGCGAGATTTAGCGAAGTTTACAAAAAAATAGAAACGCATAATAACATATAGCGTAAAGGTAATTCTATCAATTTCTTTACGATCATAAATTGCGTTGACAAACAGATGGCTCATTGTTAAAGTGTTTATAACTGTAACTTTGATCGACAAACGGTACGCATAATCATGTAGCGAAAGAGAACAAATCGATATTCTCTATGGCTAAGCATTAATTATTTTATTGCAATTTTTCTATCGCGAAGTATCAAAAAATCGAACAAAATCTGGAAAAAATTCGCAATTATTATAATTAATATCTGCGTATAGATAAGAAGGTGCCGATGCACGCTCCCATCTTACGAAGCCCGGTACGGTCGCCAAGTGGCCGAGAACTAACGACCGGTATACGCGGTATATACCTACTTTATAACCGAGCCGAGATATAGCGAACGAAGGAGCGAACATATGCGCGTGGTACAGGCGGAACGCGGCGTGTGTATGTATGTATGTATATATGTATACTTATGCACATTCATCGCATCCACGCACACTTATACATATATACAATATACGTGCACACCAAAGTGGCATGCAGCGAACGGGTACCAGCGGAGAGGGAAAAGAGCAGTTTCATGCCGAGCGAGTAGTCGGGCCTCAGAATCGCGCGGAGCTCCAGCTCGGCTCTCGGCTGCTCAGGCACGTCGCGACCAAAGAACCAACCAGTCCGCTCAACTTCTCCGACACATTCCGACAGGCTGTCGTTGAGTTATCCGGGGGACCCTCTCTTTCGAACCGGGCTCCGAAATATATACCTGCTCGCAAGACCGCTCGCGTCTCTCGCTCGTCTTGCTCCGAAACGTGAGGCATTCGCAGAATCTCATCGTTTTAAACACGCCGCGAGTCTGAAGCGTCGCGTTAGAATCGGTACCGGATCGACCTGGAATCGGTCCAATACGAACTGTTTCAAAAGTACTTGTCAATTCTCTTTTGAGGATCGCAAAGTGAACTCGGAAAATGCGCGTTATTCGAAAAATCTCGACGTTTTAGTGCGCTCACTGAACGATACATGCTCGACAGTGGAGTCGATACCCAATCTGGATCAATCTGGAAGAGGTCCAATACGACCCGTTTCGAACTAGTATTGTACTTGTTTTATTGTTCTCTACGAAAAAATTTCGAACATGTTACTGTGACTGTGTCACTGTGTGTTACAAGACAGCCCTGTCGATTAACCGCTACGATCTGAATCGGCCTGGATCCGTTCCAGGAATACACCTTTCAAAGTGTATACTATATATTTCTACTCTCTGTTGCCCGAAAATCAAACGTTTACTATGATTGCGCGTTGGTAATAATGTCATCGTAATTCAGAAAACGCACGTGTCACTCGAGAAACTTCGGATATTTTTATAGCGTCGATTAGTAAACAAACGCGATATTCTAATGGCACGAATCATCGTTTCCTATTAGCCACAATTTCAAACAGATCTGAATGCATGTCGTATTTTGGATTTGCATAACAAATTAAAGATATAAAATTACTTGACTGTGTTATTGAAATAACTGAAATACGGGAGAAAACAATTTTAAAAATTTTTTGTTAACTGGCGTGTTTCTGGTCGAAGCGATCTCACATTGAAGTTTCTTAAATTTATGTGCAAGAAATCAGCGATCCGTTTAATCAAGATACTGCTACATCCGCCTTTTTAAACGATACAGCAATATTTGCTTTCGCAAGAAACATCGCGAAATTTTTGCTTGACCGAGTTGAGCTTCTCCGGTGCGTATTTCGCGAATATTTTTAGTAAAGCGCAAAATTGATGGAATATTTGATACTCTCGCGATAAGGAAATGCCTGCGATATTACAGCCGATAGCACAAATCTGGCGTTTATTCGAAACGAATTTGCTGAAGCTCGCTCATCAGCTTTTGGTTCATTCAAGCGCCAATATATCCGCCGATACGCAGGATTGGCATAGTGTTTAATCCAAAGGATAAAGTGCACGATTCACCGAATGATACACGCTTAAACGATGTTTAATCCTTTCGTAACATGGAGCATGAACTAGCACGGATGTTTCTTTGACAGGGGATCTTATTGAAGCAGTTTCAAATTGATTCACATTTCAACAATAATACGTAAAATTATTATTTAGAGCAGATGGTCTTTATTATTTATATACTTTTTAATGGAATTCTAATCACTGATCCTGTGCGAATGGTATCGTCCCGAAGTCTGTGAACGTCACTAAAAAGCGTCGAAAATCGACAAATAAATCTTGGACAGACTTACCTGACATGTTTCTAGTATGCATCTTGTGCAGCGCATGAGGCTACGAGTGAAATGCATTGCGTAGCAATGTGACACCCTATCATTAGTATTAACAGTTGAAAGTGTTCTGAATTATACGTTCTATTTTTTACGCTACGCAAAGTATTCTGCGTTTTTCTTTTGTTTATGATACATGGAGGAATATTTTTTAATAAAGACAGACATACTTTTTAAAATATGTGTGTGATACAAGTGTAAAGTTAATATAAAAACGTAATGACGTACGTTACATAAATGTGTACGTCACAAAATCAAAGGATACAGGAGAACATCGAATTATACACGACAGATAAAAGAAGAGGTCTTTGAAAAAATTGAAGAATTTCATCTGAATTACATGCACAATCACCGATACAATTGTCCGGTTATTGCATCGTGAGCATCACGACGGAAACATGCGTGAGTAATAAAAATATTGAAGAACCGTATATTAATCAAACATGTTATCCAGAAGAGACCAAAAATGAAGGCGAGATCACTTGTATCTTAGTTCGTCGCAGTTTTCCTCGACACTCCTCTTTTAGATGTTGAGTGGAATATTTATCACAGACGAACGAATTACGCGAAACACATGTTCGGGGAACGATGTCTCGCGAAAACACTAGATCGCGCGAAACGATGAACGCCAGTTAAGAATGACCGAAATACACGATCGAGTAATCCAATGGGTAGATCGAAACGATCGCCCATTTCTAGATTCGACACTCTCGACTCATCACACGCGATGTTAAAAGATATTTGAGACTTTTAAAAAATATTTAGAAAACATTATATTTCTCTCTTAATTTAAAAAATATTTTAATAATTTTTATTTGTCGAAAATATTTCTGTGTATATTTATGATGAAAAATAAAAAGTAGCCTGCCAATTGCAACGCAATGGAAACGTTTTCATGTTTTAAACGTGTTGAATAATCGCAAATATATAAAATTCTAAAAAATTGTTTTAAAAAATTTTTTGTTTGAGAAAAACATTTATATGGTGAGACACCATATTTATGGTGAGAAGCTTGTCGATTTTAAAGAGTTTTGTTTGTTTTAAAACGATTCTCGTTTAATGTTAAGCATATTCATGCATTTTATAAGTTTCATAACTATAAGTATTATATAAAAGTTGTTTTAATGACCTCTTTTTGAAGTTAGCACCCCATTTTTAAATTTTTTATATAATTAATAATTTTTGCTTTTCCCTAAAGAATTCCATGATTGCTAATATTTTTTACAAATATTTTTTTTTTTGATTAAATGTAAAAAATAATGGTTCGAAAATATAAGGTGTGCCAACTTCACATTTTTGCAATACGAAAATTAGCCATTACTTTTATATTTCAATAAGAACAGATATAATATTTAATATTTTTTGACAGTACAATACTGTTTTAGAGCCATCAGAATATAAAAAAAAAATGTCATGTTTAAAGAAAAAAAAATTTTAATTGAAGAATTTTAATTTTGGAAATAAAATAACGCGATAATTCTTTCAATTTTGATCTTATTGAGTTGAATCTTAATAATAATTATCAGAACTCTTGGGATGCTATTTAGAATTTTGAAGAAATTGTTACAGTTACACGTTAATTACTAAGATGTTCTGATGCGTTAGAATTCGATTTATTTTTCTACCTACATCTAACGGTTGCACGACCCCTTTCTATATTTTTAGTCTCTTTTATGTAACATGTTTAATTAGTACGTTCGGTTTTCGCACAGAGATCACGTTAACGTCCGCTGTTTGTTGACAATCACGTTCCTGGCATTTAAAGAACGCGTCATGCGTGACAAGATGAGAATGTTGAATCTAGCGATAAATGCCAGTTAAGAATAACCGAGACATGTGATCGCATAATTGAATAAATAGCTCGAAACGATCATCCATCACTAGATTCGACAATCCCGACTCGTCACACGCGATGTTAAAGATATTCGAGATACTTATCACGCAATATGTCTTTGGAGAATGACGTCTCACGACCAACACTCAAACGTGCGAAGCAAATTGCGGACGCCGATTGCAAATAACCGCGGTAAACGTGATCGTCCGTTGCTAGATTCGACACTCGGCATGCGTGATGTCGAGAGATATTTGAGACACTTATCACTGCACGAAACACGTATTTAGAGAACGGCAACCCGCGACACTCAAGCGCGAAGCGATAGACACCGGTTAAGAATAATCGAGGTACGTGACCGCGTAATCCAATGAATGAATAGATCGAAACAATCGCTCATCGCGAGATTTAACATTTTCATCTCATCACGTATAACGCGTTGTTTACATGTTAGGAATGTGATCGTCAACAAACACAGCGGATGCGGACGCAACTTCTATGCGAGAACCGTAGAGCAAAATAACTTATATTTTAATTCGTCGCAGCAATTTTAAAAAATATTCGAGACTTTTAAAAAATATTACATTAATTTAAAAAGATATATATTATTTAAAAATAAAAAGTAGCCTGCTAATCGCAACGCTATGAAAATGTTTTTATGTTTTAAACATGTCAAATGATTGCAAATACATAAAATTTTGAAAATTGTTTAAGGAAACCTTTTTTTCGATATTGTAATTCACAACTCACCCGAAGCGCTGTACAGTCTTAGCTATGATTCTGTGCGCAAAAATTTGCGTGTAAAAAAAACAAATAAAAAACGTCCTATCATATATGCATAATTTCTATGAATCTTTTCACGCAGCTATGTTAAAGTAATTATTATACATTTATTATTTATTGGTGAAGAGTAGTCAGTTAACATGAATAATTTTGAAAGCGCATTAAGCATAAATATATTGTGGATTATTAGTAAGAGTAATAAATAAAAGCTTTACGACTAAAATAGCATCTTAAAAAGTGTAATAAGATTAAAAGAGACGAAAACAATAATTTAATAAATGAAGATAAATCAATACTGAATCATCTTTATACTCCTATGTGTTTTGAAACAACCAAATTATATAATTAAAACTACAGTTGCACATAAAGAAGAGCTCGACAAAACAGTGGCGAAATTTTTTATGCTTGTAATATGCTATTTAGATGTACATAAAATTTTAATTATTCCTAATGATTTGTTCCACCTATAGGATTATTCCGGTCAATCCTAGTTCTAATTATAAGCATTATTTAAAAATTGTTTAAATGACTTCTGTTAGCAATCCATTTTCTAGCCGAATTCTAAAATGTACATGTACTTAGATTGCAGACGGATTTGTATCTGTCGGAACTAATAATGCATTTGCAGTTCTTACCCGCGTTCACTTGCGTTTACCTGCGTTCATCTTCGCCTCTGTTCGCCTCCGTTCAATCGCGTTAACTTGCGTCCACATCACCGCAACCGATGTTTGACTTGTAAGATCCTGAAATCCATGAAATACAAACATAAATAATTTTAATATACTATCACAAGAAATTACGATATTTATAGTATTAATTTAAAAAATATACAAAATTTATTTATGTATTTTTGCAAATATACTATAAGAACACTAAAAATAATATATGTTTGTCACGCGATAACGTTAAATCAGTGCAAACAATATATAAGTGAGCAAATATAATTAACTAGCCGATACACTTGCCATCATTGCGAAGAAATTACATAAAATTATATATTTAAACACGATTAAACAAAAAAATGAATCAAAAGCGACAATTTCTTTGAGCAAATTTAATTTCTACGTTTCAAAATATATAAAATATGTAAATTAAATCTGTGATATAGCTCTTACATCGAACGTTTATGAAATATAACGTACATATAAATGTGAAATTTAAAAAAAATATTAAAATATTATTATAAAATGCTTTATATATATAGTAAGTCTTTTATAAAATCTTTTATAAATAAGCATAGAAATGATAGGTATAATTCACTCGCAAAGTTGCTAGAATTCGTGAAACTACGAAAAGGCTTGGACGGTATTAACTGCTTTAAATTAGTTTGCAGCGAATTACTTGAGAGCCACTGAAATGTTATTAGTTCGCGGCAGTATAATGAGATTGCATGCACAATTGCATGCCGCTATTAGGTGCATTACATATGATTTTCATGACAATTAAGGACAGTAGGGGGAAAATCCTTACTCTCTGAACTGAATTTACAGGCCTGCGAAACTTCAATATAAGCGAAACATTCTCGCAAATTTGAATTAAACTAGATACGATTTCAGCTCCAATTAAGCTACGCGGAATTGGTATTTTGACAGCAATGTTAAAGGTTCAATGCAGCTGACAAAATTGTCAATTACAACAACACGTTTTTCACAGTAACACATAATAATAACAATATCAAATATTAAATTTATAATATATTAATAATTCTATAACTTTTATTTTAGAACTATTTATTTTGATCATCAGTTTATTCAGCCTTATTTAATAAACAAATAAATTTGGCTCGACAATTTTTTAATAGCTCAAAAATACTTATTATTATAGAACAAAAGAGAGAATTTGATAAAATCAATTGAGAATTTTCTTGACTTCTGCAATATCCGTTTTTTATTTCTCGTGCCGATGTAGTAAATCGTATATCGCGCAACAAACAAACGGAGGCACGAATCGGTCTTTTTCAGTTCGAGTAATAAAAACTTGGAGTACAAGCGGACATACGAATTCCCTATCCCTGTCGCTGAGATAAAGCACAGGGTACCTCGAACTACTAAACTTTTGATCTAGAACTTTAAACATCGTCATTCAGCCGAATCGAACTTCTAAAGCTGCAGCACTATTCCAGATTTTGTTCGTCACGCCCGAATGCAGGCCGCGATTAATACCTCGAAGCAGTAGTGCATCGGATGCACAACCGAGTGTGTTTCTTCATCGATCTTGAAACTGAAAACACCGAAAATTCGAATCGAGTTATATCGTGAAACGCGGTCGGTAAAAATGTATGGAACAAAATAATATTGTTCGTAATAATAAAAAAATTATGTCCATAAAAGTGAATTATGTTTGAATTTCTGGAATTCTGGACATATTCCAATTTTGCAAATTTAGATAAATAATATATAATAATCTAACATACACTATAAATATTATAATAAATGTAAAAAAAGCATTATAAAAGTATACAAAATGATAAAAAAACATGACAATATTTCATCATAGGATTTAAAATGGATTTAAAAATTTTACGGTGATTTAATTTATTTATTATAATAAGACCTTATAAATTATCTTAATCTTATCTTAACGCATTAATAAATTTTTCTTGAAATATGTAACTAAAAAATAAGCGTACCTAAAAATAAGTGTATCAGAACAAGTGTAATTTGTTCGCATCTACCGAAATCTCTTTATCTTTCACCTGTGCCAATGCAGGTGTGAGACCAATACGAATTGAAATGGTTTTGTCTTATCAATCATGTCAATAACGTACATTCTTTCGTTATCAGTGCGT